ACCTTCCGTATGAACTAACCCAGTTTAAGCTTTGGATGTTCGCTGTTAGACATCTCACTTCCGTAAAAACATCTAAATGTGAAGGCTGTAACACTTTTATAACAAAGGACATAGGCGTGTGATCATGTGAAAGTGTTTCGAAAGAAAGTAGAGTTTCCCTATTCCCGGTAGTACTACAGATGAGGTGGTTACTTTGTCACAAGGAACCGAAGTTATGGTTAGATTTTATCGAATAATTTCGGTTAACGGATGAAGGAACATAATATCTGCTGGCCAGCAAACGATATTACTATTAGAAAAAAGACTGTGGCTGTCTGTAAGGAAAAAACTAATATATTTAGATGCATTAAAGCCAATATAGAGTACTACATAAATTTAGTTTTACCCACAGAATTGCAAGAGTAATAACTAAGAAAGTTTTTGGAAAAACACCGCGAATTACAGTGACTAAAATTTTGATCAGTAAGGCCCCGATTCCGAAAAGACATTTCACTAGCTTGTTGTGTTTTCTTACGACAATAACACATAACTCACTCCTGTTAACATAAAAGACAGGATGCACATATCAAATCTCCAAATCTTTAATCAGAACACTAGAAAGCAGATGAGCGATTACATGTACTTTTATTATTTTGATCTATAACGGATCATATGGATACAAAACGAGATGACATTCAATTACAATATGCACCCAGCCATAATATTTTACTAAAAACCTATGTAATGCATTTACAGTTTATTACGCGTAGATTTATAAAAGTAAAGATACATCGATAATTAGCCAGTTGAAACGTCTATTTCTAGGATCATATGGAAATACAATAAATCAACTATTTGAATGATACTTCTCGAGGTTGAAAACTCCGCCTGTAGCTCTTCTAGAGTTACTGCCGGTCCCAAGCCCGGGTAAAGGAGGAGGGTTAGGCATGGGGTTAGCGTCCCCATCCCGTAGAAAACTAACTCGCTAAAAAACGCTTACCAGAAAAAATAATTCAAACCATTTTAACTCTGCCCTGGGAGTTAGAAGGTCTTCATTTAGAAGAATTATGACGCTTCATGGTGAAAGCCGAGTTCCTTCGGAAGCCACGAGGCCGATGCCCCTTCTGACAACCAGAGCGACCATTTGTTTAGGTACATGGAATGTTCGTACAATGTGGGACACCGGGAGAGCCTTCCAAATTGCTGCAGAAATGAGAAGATACAACCTAGAGGTACTTGGGATCAGTGAAACACATTGGACACAAGTTGGACAACAACGACTAACTACAGGAGAGCTCCTGTTATACTCCGGCCATGAAGAAAAAAATGCACCACATACACAAGGAGTTGCATTGATGCTGTCCAAACAAGCGCAAAATGCGCTTATAGGATGGGAATCTCATGGACTAAGGATCATCAAAGCCTCGTTCAAAACAAAGAAAGAGGGTATTTCAATGAACATCATCCAATGCTATGCGCCTACCAACGACTACAATGAAGACGCTAAAGATCAATTCTACAATAGGTTGCAGTCAATCGTCGAGAAGTGCCCAACAAAGGACCTGACCATTCTGATGGGAGATTTCAATGGCAAGGTTGGAACAGACAATACTGGATATGAAGACATCATGGGATGACACGGACTGGGAGAAAGGAACGAAAATGGTGAGAGATTTGCAAACCTATGTGCCTTCAATAAACTGGTCATAGGCGGCACCATATTCCCACATAAACGCATACACAAAACCACATGGACTTCACCGGATCACTCTACACAAAACCAAATCGACCATATTTGCGTCAACAAAACGTTCAAGAGGACCATAGAGGACGTGAGAACCAAGAGAGGAGCTGATATAGCATCAGATCATCACTTGCTGGTCGCCAAGATGAAATTGAACCTCAAGAAGCACTGGACAACGGGGCGGACAATATCACAAAAGTTCAATACGCCAAAGTCGGGATAGACAACAATGGATATGAAGATATCATGAGGCGACATGGACTGGGGGAAAGGAACGAAAATGGAGAACGATTTGCAAATCTATGTGCATTCAACAAATTGGTCATAGGCGGCACAATATTTCCACACAAATATATACACAAAGCTACATGGATCTCACCGGACTGCACCACAGAGAACCAGATAAACCATATTTGCATCAACAAAAAATTCCGAAGGACAATGGAAGATGTGAGGACCAGGAGAGGTGCTGACATAGCTTCAGATTACCACCTAGTTGTAGCCAATTTAAAACTGAAGCTGAAAAAGAACTGGACAACTGGACAAACAGAACTACAAAGGTTCAATACAGCCTTCCTTCGAGATACTGACAAACTCAGTGAATTCAAGATAGCTCTCAACAACAGGTTCCAAGCCTTACAAGATCTACTGAAAGAAGAACAAACTACTGTGAAGGACAACTGGAAAGGCATCAAGGAAGCGTTAACTTCAACGTGTCAAGAGGTTCTGGGTCTAAAGAAATACCATCATAAGGAATGGATCTCTATAGAAACACTGGACAAGATCAAAGAAAGGAAGAACAAGAAGGCAGCAGTTAACAACAGCCGAACACGAGCAGAGAAAGTCCAAGCACAAGCTGAATACATGGAAGCAAACAAGCAAGTGAAGACGACCATTAGAGCCAACAGGGAGAAATACGTGGAAGAATTAGCAACGACGGCAAAAAAAGCTGCTAGAGAAGGAAATATGAAACAACTTTACGATACAACGAAGAAACTGGCAGGGAAATACAGTAAACCAGAGAGGCCGGTCAAAGACAAAGAAGGCAAGCCAATCACTGAAATTCAACAACAGCGGAACAGATGGGTAGAATACTTCGAGGAACTCCTGAATAGGCCGGCTCCAATGAATCCAGTGGACATCGAAGCAGCACACACAGATCTTCCTATAGATGTCAACCCACCAACGACGGAAGAAATCAGAATGGCCATCAGACAAATCAAGAACAGGAAAGCAGCAGGACCCGACAACATACCAGCAGAAGCACTGAAATCAGACGTCGAAGTAACCACAAGCATGCTTTACCTTCTATCCAAAAAGATTTGGGAGGAGGAACAAGTGCCGATGGACTGGAAAGAAGGACACCTCGTCAAGATCCCAAAGAAAGGAGATCTGAGCAAATGTAAAAACTACAGAGGCGTTACACTACTGTCAATACCAGGGAAAGTCTTCAACAGATTGTTGCAGAACCGGATGAAGGATGCAGTAGACGCCCAACTTCGAGATCAACAAGCTGGATTCCGTAAGGATCGATCGTGCACAGACCAAATTGCGACACTACGGATCATTGTCGAACAATCAATGGACAGCTCAGAATCAATTAGACGATTTGGACTTCGCAGATGACCTAGCCCTCCTATCGCGTACACACGAACAGATGCAGATGAAGACAGCCAATGTAGCAGCAGTTTTTGCATCAGTACGCCTCAGTATACACAAAAGGAAAACCAAGGTCCTCAAATTCAAAGCGGAGAACAGTAATCCAATCACTCTTGATGGCGAAACTCTGGAAGATGTAGAATCCTTCACATACCTGGGAAGCATCATCGATGAACAAGGAGGTTCAGATGCAGACGTAAAGACGAGGATTTGCAAAGCAAGGGTCGCATTCCTACAATTGAAGAACATATGGAACTCAAAACAATTTTCAACCAATATCAAAGTGAGAATCTTCAATACGAACGTCAAGACAGTTCTACTGTATGGAGCTGAAACTTGGAGAACTACAACAACCACAATCAGGAAAGTACAAGTATTTATAAATAGCTGTCTACGCAAGATACTCAACATCCATTGGTCGGATACTATCAGCAATAGTCTTCTGTGGAAGAGAACAAACCAACTTCCAGCTGAAGAAATTAGGAAAAGACGATGGAAATGGATAGGACATACATTACGAAAATCATCAAACTGCATCACGAGGCAAGCCCTGACTTGGAATCCTGAAGGGAAGCGGAAAAGAGGAAGGCCAAAGAACACATTACGTCGGATAATAGAACCAGATATGAATTACAACTGGAAGGAGCTGGAAAGGATTGCCCAGGACAGGGTTGGATGGAGAGTGCTGGTGAGCGGCCTATGCTGCTTCACGAGGAGTAACAGGCGTAAGTAAGTAAGTCTCGAGATTTAAGCATATATATCATAAAACAATTATTCAATTATCGTGCTATCCTTATTTCCCTTTAAAAGTTCGAAATTATCACCATGGTTTATGAAAAAAAACTAGAAGATCTAAACTGTAGAAAAGGCATTATCCATGATAGTTGGGATTTAATTTGGCAATTTTACGGATCAAACTGACACAGGCAGACCCGCGAAAACCGACACATCAAAAAGCGTCAATGAAATAGGTTATTTATTTTATTTATTTATTTTAACGCATAGATATTGGTACAAGGAGGCACCAAATACATATGCGCCACACAGATCTCATTTGATATCTGCGAGGGCTGTGATACTGCTCGGGTGTCCAAACCGAAGCAGGTCTAAAATAGGTCTGTATATTTAGGTTTTTTGGGATGGTCTAGGAAAATTATACATTATCTACTTTCACCAGCTAGTCCCAAGTTTAAATCCTTTTTACCCTCCTTTAGCACGAACACCAGTTTCCTCAGTTTAAATAATAAAGGGTCCAAAGATGAGGCTGGAGTGTGTCTAACATCTAAATAAACAATATGACAACTCAAGTATTTTTTATTCCTGATAGTTCTCTTTCATACGGTGTAATAGCGACGAACCATAGTAAATAAGTGACTTAGTGATACATTCATTTGAATTCTATGTAATAGAGCTGGAACTCGATCAACTTGTTTCGATTTGATAGCCAAGATAAACACAAATCCAAGCTAGAAGTCGTTTACAGTTCATCACATCTACCTTACTAGGCAGTGGGGTTTCAAGCAACCAAAAGTTTCATAAGAGGAAAGAACTAGTGATGAGAAGGAATTACAGAATTGTTTGGGAGTTTATATATATATATAACAAGTGAAACGCTTACCGAATAAATGGGATCACCAGGTAGAAGTTGTTCGGTCTTGAATTTAATTTCTCCATAGTAGTAATATCTTGTATATGTGCTGGCAAATCAGCAATCCCAAACCAAGTTATAGCCTCAATCTCGTTTTTTGTACCAGGCTTCAACCGAGAAGTCCTGGGAAGTCCTTCAACAATGAATGCTCGTCTTAAAGTACCACCAATATAACGATCAATATAGAGGGACGGTAAGATACGATTTGCTAAGTCCAGACCCGTTTCTTCCATTACCTATAGAAAAATACCTAAAAATTTATGCCACTTACTTCACGAGAAGCACAATCAACAAGAGATTCATCTTGATTAATTTTGCCACCAGGTAGGCTCCAACGATTGCCATAAAATCCTTGGACTAACAAGATCTAGGAATTAAATCAATAAAAAGCTTTCTTACCATCTTGTAATGTTCGTCAATAATTATCATGCTCCCAGTAGCTGTGGATCCACGGTATTTCTTCCATTCGACAAACTTTTCTTGCCAGTTTATACCCCTGGGGACAATAGAAGGAAACTTCTCAAATACTAAAAGATTATGTATTATGAAGCTGAAAAACTACATTGTTGAGTTAGTCCGAACATATCAACACCACCAACTGAAGGATCTTCAATACAATAATCGACATAAAACCAATGAGCCCGCTCAACTTCAAAAAAGATTCTTACGAAATTCTTTGCACAATCTTCTTTCAACTCATCGGGAATATTAAGAAGAAATCGCCTACAGGGTCGAAAAGTTGACAGTAAAATGGTACTTACGTGTACAAATGTAATAAGATGTTATCTGGCACAATATGTAAAGGTTCCTGGGCCATCATTGGTTTATATCTAGGGGAGTAATACCAAAAAATGTCAGAATCTTTCAATGCACCTAATCATATTGTTCACCCCAACTATTCAGCTGTCCCACAAACGCAAGGTATTAAAGGATGACAAAGTCAAATCATTCAAATTTTTACTATATATTACGATTAGTGAAACATTGACATGAAAAATACGACTTCCCACAAACTTCAACTGCTCTATAGGTAGGGCAAAATAATAATAATAAACAAGCTGTTCACTGGCTTAGGCGGGAAGTTAGTATCACGCAGCATATCACAGCTGCAGTAGATAAGCAGTGGTATGTTGTAATTGTACGGTAGTACAACAAATTTGCGTTAAGCTAATAAATTACTTTTTGAAAAAAATGGCGCGTAAAAAACTGAATCTTCAAGCACTCAAGTAATAAGGCAATGATAGATATGATATTTCTATAGTCCTCTTTATAAACCAATAAATTCCTGCTATGATATTAAAATCTATTATTCGGTGAGACTGTAATTTATGGACGAACCAGTCAGATATAAGATAACGAGTCTTGAATTTTGGCGAGAAATTCATTCATACATTTGGTTAAATAGCCTTTCGGCGTCATAGCCGATGTCAGTTCGTGATGAAAACCCTAAATCTAATTCCTAACCCTTTAGGGTCGCTCAAAGGTCGTACATAAATTATAGTCTCACCCAAAAGTTTAGTAGAATAAGGGCAGTTGTTTTAGATTCAGATTCGTGTATTAAGGACAAAAGGCCGGCGGCCTATGTTATTTCTTTTCTAGTATGCTTCTGTGAGTGTCCAGTCTTCTCTTGAAAGAGTCAATTGAAGGTGCGGACACCACTGCTTCGGGCAGCAGGTTCCAAGTACTGATGACTCGGTGTGAAAACCTGCTTGCCACGGGAATTTTGTTCGTTCTTGGCTTTTCTACTCGCCTGCTATGTCCTCTGAGGTGTCCCGATCTAGTGGGAAGAAAGACAGAATAAGTTAGGTCCATAATCATTTCTCATTATTCTGTACATTAAAATAAGATCTCCCCTTAGTCTGCGATAGGTCAAAGTAAAGAGGACCAGCTTTTCAAGACGCTCTTTGTATGGTAAACCCCAGAGTTCTGGAATTTCACAGGTAGCTGCCCTCTGTACTTTTTATAGGATATCAGAGTCACCTTTTAAACAGGGGCTTGCATCCTGAACGCAGTTTTCAAGCTTAATTCTCACTAAGGTTGTGTATACTGTGATGAACATGGGAGTATCTTAGTGAATGTCCGTTTTAAAGCCCAGAGGTTTCTAAACCCCTCAGCTACGACCTCCCGGCAATGGGCCATCGTCTTAAGATCATGACTCACTGTCACCCCTAGATCCTTATGAGACCGGATCACGGGTACTGGCACTTATCCTATGCTGAACCTATTAACCTTTGAATCCCCCAAGTGCATGTAGACACTTTGCCGCGTCGATAGGCATCAGCCACTCTTCAGACCAGTTAATCATTTAAGTTTGCCTGAAGAGCGCATGCGTCTGTGTCTCCAGTTATTACTCACCAGATTTTCACATCGTCAGCGTATAATAACATTGGGGACTGCACTAAAATTAGGAGATCATTTACATACAGTATAAAAAGTAAAGGACCCAGGATGGGACCTTGAGGTACTCCACTAGGCACTGGGCTCCAAATGGAGCACTTGGGATTTATTCTTACTTTCTGTTTAAGACCTACTAGGAAATCCTTAAGTCATTTTAAAAGATGTTCAACAATACCAAGATTTCCTAACTTCAATAGCAGTCTATTAGTTGGCACTTTGTCAGAAGCCCTACTGAAGTCTATGTAGACAACATCCACTGAGTTTCCGTTGTCCAGCGCCTTTATCCCAAATCCCCTTGCTATAAGGAGGTTCTTTGTACAAGATGAGCCCTTTGAACGCTCTTAGTCAAAAATCACCACATAGATTCAAGCTAATGTGTTTACTAACAAATAACTTGTCTTGTTAAACACTTAGACACTGTGGAGCAAATGGCTTATGAGTCAGACAGTAGGAAAGTCCCTGTATGCAACTGGTTTCATTGCAATTGTTGAATCGAGACACAGTAATTCTCGAATTATCTGCCTGTAACAGGTTCGTAAGCCAACCTTATCAACCGTACATTGTATTAGCCAGGTAGTATTCAATTTCCCAATCTCCCGAATTCTTAGAACATTGAAGATCTTGAGGGGAACCGTTGAACTAATGTACGAACCAACACATGCCCGCCTCGAGATTTATTGGGCGGATGATTACATATGATTCTCGCATTATAGTTGATGTTACTAAGAGATAAAAACCCCGGAAAATCATCTAGAATCTGCAGAAGCAAAGTTATTGGTCAACCTTGAACTAAGTTTCCGTCAGCGAAAAAAAATTTGATTTTGGAACGCTTTAATATTAAAAGGTAAAACGGTGATAACTAATAAACGAATTACCATGTATGCTGAGAAGTAATGCACGAAATACCAGGACCCCCATCCCGAAATGAAATAGGCGCGGAAACCTGGTCTCAGTTATCAATATACGTATCATCTTTGTGACGAACTTTTACAAACAGACTGATTTATTTGATTATTTCATCCATCCACTTAACTCCTGACATTTTACTAATAGATACGTTTTAACGAAACAATCGTATCGCTTTATAACTAAACACTTCGTCCAGGAAGTAGTTCAAGCTCTCCCAAATATTTCATTGTTACCGACTAGAGTAGAGGCCACTTTGAGGAAACACAGAATCTTCCCTAGAAGTTGTAGGAGTTTTAGGCAGGTATCTTCAGTTCCAACTGTGCTTAAAAACACCTCTCCTTCGCTTCGGAGACCCTTAGAGTATTGTTCCACTGTGGACAGTTTGAAAGTATAGGTCATCATATTTACTAATGTCCTTAACTGATTTAATCCATTCGAATATACACCTTTTAGACGAATTCGTACACACCAAATGATCTCTTCACTCTCGTTTTTTGTTGTTTTCATACGATTCCCGGACTTTGGTAACGTCCAGTGATAGTCTATTCGAGTACAATAATTCTAGTCAGTCGTGTAATTATTTGGTAGTTTGTGTACCCTAAAATCTAAGAACATTTGTCTTTGGGCAGCTATCGCATTACCGAGGGTATTAAGGTTCCGGATTAGCACCGTTTGACGACGGCTCAGTATATTAAAGGTTAAGCGTTCGCGCGTGTCGCCTAATTTCGTGTGTTGCATTGCTGAAGAGTCATACGCCCGTGCAAAACCACCTTCCAGTAAATCCAGGTTTTTGACAGTGACCTAGCTTTTATCAGTTCTTGATTTCAATGAAATAGGGCTATTATTCTCAATAAACCCAACATATCCTGTGAGAATTCACCTCAATCTACTACTCTTTTCTTCACATTTCTTCATACTCTCAAGTCTGTACACTTCATACCGCACTATATTGCTGGTTGAAAGTGGAATTACACTCAACTTCAGTTATGCTTTCGGAATAAATACTGACTCTACACTATTTTTGCTCAGAATTATATTTCCAAGTACAATGTTTCGTTTATTTTTTTATATTGCCCAACTATGCAATGACCACATGCCTGACCTCGTTGCTTTATAGAGGATGATATCATGAAGGCGAGTTTGCATTCTGGAGGTTTTCCCCGACCGTCTTATTGGTCGAATCGATCTAAAAGTAATAGCTATGTAAGAAAAGGAATGTTCAAGCAGAATGATGTAATAGAAGGGCCAGTAGCTCCAGGAAAGACTTCAGACGTTAACAGGCTGTTTATATATGATGTTTGTATGAACTAATTATTCATTTGTACTCGGTGTCCCCCTGATTTTGAATTCCAAATACAACACGTTCGTTTGTGCTCACTTAGCTCTACCTGACGTAAGTTGCTCTATTTCGAGGATTCCTGGTTAGTGCAATAATTCAGGTACTTCGAATCATCACATGGGAATCTCAATGGAACCTGGGATGGAAGAGTTGAATAAACATTCAAATTTCGATGCTTTCAAGGATTATATGGAAGAGTTCAAAATCTGGAGTGTGACTGAGGAAGATGTTGAGGATGTTAATATTTTGACTCATTTCCTTTTATTCATCAAAAAGAAGCCGACAGCTTATTAAACATTTTGGCATTTAAAGATAAACCGAATTCATTTTCCTTCGCGAATTTCAAGAAACTACAACTAAACCATTTAATTTTACAAATTTCGAATGCCGTTAAGGAGGAAAATTTCATAAAATGATTCATCAGGGCATCGAGAACTCAACTAAATTACTAAATAATCCCAGTCCAATGCGTGCCCAAAGTTGTGCGGATAACAATTCATTGAGGAGTTGCGAAGTATGTCACGAAAACAAGCACACGTGTTGCAACAGAAAGAGAAGGATGAAAATCCCTCTACAGCATTTTGTCGGACTGTACTGTCATTTATTTGTTTATTCTCCCTGTCGTGTATTTTAACCTTTGTTAAGATCTCGTTTAAGCGCACCTTTTAATCATCAGTCTTCCTCGTCTGAGCTTTTATTATGTGATTTTGATTAAAGACTTCTCTTTTTTAACCTAATTTTTTATTGCATGTTGCCGGATTGTTGACAGTAAGGTCGTGTTTGACTAAGCTAAAGGTCGCGGCGTGATTCAGTGTGTGACTGAGTAACGGGATTAAAATCATCATGTATGATGTTGTTAATAGATTTTGTTTTCTTTCTATTGCAGGGCAAGCAAGAATAAGTGCTTTAGAAAAAGAAGAGCAAGCCCTTCATGCACTAAACTTACAGGACGACTCATAAGACCGTTTTGTAAACTAGCTCTCTTTTCTGCACATAATCCGCGAATTTTAATTTTCAAATAAACGACTGGTGGTCTCCATTCCGTGTTCCCTCTGTGGTGTGAAGTGCTCAGTTAATATTGTGTGTGCTATGGCTTCAGGTCTTCCTGCCTTCTAGTGACTGCTGATTACACGTGTTACAACTGGTGATGGAGGTGCCGACAGAAAAACGCGATGAGAATCTAGACGAACCGCCTCTGAATCCAGTCAGGGCTGCTCCCGGTTCAACCCCACGCCAGCCACTACTGCTTGAAACGTCGTCAGATTACTCCGTTTGGAAATTTGAAGTCACAGCGCACCTGCAGAGAGTTCCATTGACCGAACATTTCAACTATCTCGTTTCTTATCTGAGAGATGAATCAGTACGCAGGGCTATAGCGAATGGTTTTGCGGCTGGTAACACGCTCTCACACAACTGGAGAATTCTAGACGACTGTTTTTCCATGCCCGTAGACACCCAGCAGGTGACAATTCAGTTTTTATCACGCCACCAGAAAGCAAGCGAGAGTTCAATAGACTATCTTCATTCCCTGCAGCAAGTCGCAGTACAAGCATTCCCTCGTTTAGATATGATGGGACGAGAGGAATTAATACGCTCACGTTTTGTCGAAGGCCTGTTGTCCGGACCACTTAAAGAACACTTTCTCTGAAATCCACCAACTGATACGTCTGACGTAAAAAGAACAACATTACGCTCCCTGGCCGCTGACAAACTAGTAAATTTATCCAATGCACATTGATCATCAGTAACGACTGTGGAACGAGCTACAAAATCTAGTGGCCTGGACAGCTGCCAGACTAAAATGGTTGTCACCAACCCTTGCGGCCGAGGTGCTATCCGCGGACAGTCAAATTAGAGGCAGAATAAACAACCGGCACGGGGCAACTACAATGGGTGTCAAGCCGAGTGTATATATTGCAAGAGGTTTGGCAGGAAAGCTAGAAGATGCGGTCACAACCGCCCCCGTAAACCAGGTGAGCTGCGTTTTGGTTATTCATCTTCCTATGTTAATCATGTCAATCCAACTACGTTTAAAGGTAGAGTACAAAACATCGAGCTAGACATACTTCTAGACACAGGAGCTTCAGTATCCCTCATTAAGGAAGACTTCTTGCAGAGACTTAACCACATCACTCAGCGTAAACGATGCTCCTCTACAATAATTACGGCGAGCGGAGACCCCTTGATTGCGTGTTCTAAGATAGGGTTAAGGCTTACAATAAACAAGAACTCTTTTCGACATCAATTCCTGGTTTCCCCCACACTGACATGGAACATGATACTCTGGGTTGACTTCATGTTAAGATATCAGGTTTCTATAGACATGAATAAGTCGGAAGCTAAAATTGGCGGGGTTGTCGTGCAACTACAACACCAGGAAATGCCAACCGTAACCGTAGCTCAGGTGCGAATTGCAGAGATTGTACGTCAGGTACAAGATAACCAAATAATAAGCGAAAAGGACCGTCGAGCGACCATTGACGTACTCTGTTTTCTCGGAGAATATCTCTGGAAATCGGACAACCATTGTTCAACATTCCATTGTCACAGGTGACCACATGCCATTACGCTAACCACCTCGCAGAATATCAGTGCATTATCAGCCTCACTTAGAATCAATGATGAAAGAAATGCTAGAAAAAAAATTATTGTACCATCTTCGTCACCCTGGGCATCGCCTATTGTTTTAGTAAAAAAGAAGGACCCTTCCCTACGACTGTGTGTAGATTGCCGACGCCTTAATGCTATAACCAAGCAAGATTCTTTTCCACTTCTACGGATAGACTCTACCTTAGATGCCATGAAAGGTGCTCGCTGGTTCTCAACTCTAGACTTAGCATCATGGTATTGGCAAGTGGAAGTCCGACCCCAAGATAGAAAAAAACTGCATTTATAGTGCTCATTGGCTTATATGAATTTCAAGTAATGTCTTTCGGACCAACTAATGCCCCAGCCACCTTCCAACGATTAATACAGACAGTTCTACACGGTCTCGTACTGCACCAGTGCTTAATTTACTTTGATGATATTATTGTATATGACAGCACGCCAGAACAACATAATGCCAAATTAAGGCAGTCCTACAACGTATTAGGCAGTGTAAGATCCAAACTACGGTTTGGACTGCTGAATAGCCTTCCACATACGTTTGACACGCGCCCTTTCCCGTCGAAATCAAAACAAGTAATCGGGTAATTAGCGGTTCTATAATTCATCATAAATTTAAATGTAAATCGTTACCTAAACAAATATCATCACCCGGCTACTCAATCAATAATTGTTCAATCAATAAAATCTAAATTACAATAAATAAAGAAGTTGATAGAAGATGAGGAAAAATTACCAATCACAACAAATCAACGTTATTCTATCCTGGCTGGATAGATCACACACAACAGGAAGAACAAATCAATATGGCTACCGCCAAGAAAAAGTGTCAAGTAAAACAACATAGATACAGTTCGGGAAGAAGCACAAAAACTTAGTGAAGGCGTAATAAAATAAAAACTATGATAAAATACAAATATTAACAATTCAAATGTAATCAAAAAACTAACAATGTACAACTAAGGGGATCAATAGGAACAAAGTGCAAGTTTATGCATGGAGGGATTTTCACAAACACAAAACATTCAAAATAAATCTTACAGGCAGCATAACCTAAAAGTTAAAACATCCAAATGTCGACTATTGCAAAAAGAAGTGCTCTTTTTAGGGCACCGCATTACAGAAGATGGAGTAACAACAGATAAAGAAAAGACACGTGTGA